CATGGCACTTCCTGCTTCCCAAGCCCTTTCCTGAGCACCGGCTCACGGTATCCACAGCACAGTCCTGCAAACGGGGCCCTGGAAGCATGGCTTTACAGTTGAAGAGAGGACCCAGAGGGTCAGTGACGAAGACCTGTCTTCAGCAACACTCAGCAAGAACTGGGGATCGGGAAAGGATCTTCTAACTGAAATACGTTTTCTTTCTACCTCGCGAAATGCCTCTTGTATATCCAAAGAATGGATGAGCAACATTTTCTAAACTGAGTTAAGGTTACACTTGTTGACTTCTGGAACGAGAAAAGTCAGCAGCCCACAGACCTTTCCTTTATAAGTGGAGCCACCCTAGCAGTGTGCGGTAACTGAATTAGCACCTGCCTTATGTGGGGATGATGTTTTCTTCTAGCTTAGTTACCTATGCGCAATTCATGTCATTAGTCTGTTGCCAAAAATTTGAAATAACAGAGAATGCATATAAATCATATAAATTGTGCATATTTTAAGTCATGTTATGCTAAATTATGGAAACAGAATGCACATAACATATTTAAGTACAGTGTAACTAACACAGGAATGCATCATTTTGACAGCTTACAAGTAAGAACAGGTGCCTTAAAAAAATGTCTGAAGTCTTCAACATTAGCATAATATATCTAGGACCTAGTAATTATCTGATTCAAGTAAGAATTCAACAAATGTTTGTTAAACTATATCATCAAAGCAATTCTATAAAGACATATATACCCTGTAGCTATTTCACATTTTTTTCCTTTATTCTCAGGATCTCAAGGATTTTAAAAATTCTATGGTTTAGAAAAGGACCTATTAATAAAAGTGTCTAATTTTTCAGTGTGATCATTATATACAATGTAGCACTTCTAAAATCAGTTTTATCCTTATATAATGCAGGCTGTCAAACTATAATCTAGAAATAAATTCTGAATACATGACTAGTACCTCTGGAATAATGGTTCACGAGGGCAAGGGATTTGTTAAGTAAACCACTGTATTTACAGAGTCTAGTAGAATGCTTGGCACACGGTAGGCACTCAATAAACATGTGTTGAATTATCAGTGACTATAGAGAGAGATGATTATACCAGGAACTTCAAACATCTAGAAAAAGAAAATTCCTGAAAATAGAAATGCACTTCTCAGTCCAAATGAGACCACGATTTGTAATCCATAAAACTGCAAAATACTGGAAGAAAAATAGATTTCATTCAATTTTGGAAATGCTGAGCTTGAGGAGACTGGGTGAGTCGACTGGAATAGACTGCAGACATCTCAGGGTCTGGGGCCAGCCGAGGTCAGGGTTGGCCATGGCTACTCGGGCATTATTAGCCTATGGGGACACAGTATAGCTTAAAAGGAGAAGAGGGCCCAGGCCTGAACTGTGATTAAGTAGAAGAGAAAGAACTTGTGAAAGACAAATGAAGACGAGAAGGAAAGCCAGGTGTGGACGTCGCAGAAGCCAAAGTGAGAGAGGCTTCCAGTCCAACACTCCCAGCGAGCGCAGAGGAGAGGACTGAAAGCATCTACCCCTGCGGTGAGCAGCGACCTGGCCGGAGGAGAGTCAGGTAGCTGGTAGGCCTGACTCTGGGGAAGAAGAGGGCGTGGCAAGGAAAAGCAGAGAGAGGACGGAAACTGGGAGAAGAGCAGGACAGTGGCCAGAGGATGGGGATGCTGAGGTTTTCCTTTCTTTGTATTCACCTGTATCTCCTTCTGTCGGTCCATTCCTCCTTCCCGCCATTTTTAAATTTTAAGACAGGAAAGAAGAGGTTAGGCATATTTAAATGATGACAGAAAGGGTCCAAGAGGAAAAGGAAGAGGCTGAAAGGATATCAGTTTGTAGTAATTTATCCATCCATCCATGCACCCACCCAACCTACCCACCATTATCCATCCTGAACTGGATACCACGGAGGCAGAACAGGAATGGGGGACAAGAAACTCACTTCAAGGAAGACATTTTGATAGAAGTGAATTGGACTGACATGTGAAACCAGAAAGGTCTCAAAACAGAAATTGTTTGATGGGATAGCGTTCAGGTGGAAAGGGGCCAAGTCGGGGAACTCGTGAAGCAGGTGCTGGACCAATCAAGGTGCACAGGATCATCAGATCAAGGTTTAGGGAGTCCTCAAAGGCTAACTATTCCTTGGCCTGAGAGTTAAAGCTGAAGCCTGGCACAGCAGCCAGTTCTCTAGCACTAAGAAAGAGTCAGAAGGAGCTGGAGTCTAAGGGGAAAAGCAAGATGAAATGGCAAAGCTTTACAACAAACAGCTGAATACACACAGCTGTGCTAAGCAAGCTAGACTGTATCTAGTGATTAATAAGGAGATATATAAATACTTCCCCCAAGTTTCATTTTGGTGCCTAAACAACGAAGTGCTCAGGAATTCTGGCTTCTAATGAGAACCCCCTCCTGCCCCGTGAGGGGTAGCTGTTGACATGACCAGCAGAAAATACAAGCTTTTTCTCTCATGAGGAAGGACCCAACATTTCTGACTAATTTGCCCTACTGTATTAAAACCTAGTAACTCTGACTGATGTTTGTTTTGGTTTGTTTATTTCTGTTTCAGTTGTGAACATTTGCTGTTCTCCAGAGCCAAAATCCTCTCTGCCCTTTGCCAACTCATCAGCCACACGTTGTCCATAAGTAGGGGATTTGCAGGTAGCTTGCTGCAGGGAGGTGTTACCAGAGCCCAACCTTTTCCAGCACATAAAGGGTTTGCCACAAGTGTAGGCGGGGTGCATGAGCAGGTCAATGAGCTGTCTATGGCGTGAGGCAAAGGCGAGCTTCCCTGTCAATGAGCAGGTCTATGGCGTGAGGCAAAGGCGAGCTTCCCCGTCTTTCCACGCCAGGGCAGTCTGCTGAGGCCCGCTGACCCCCTCCCAGAAGAGCGTTTTTAAAAACACAGAGCGACAGAGGACAGCAATTAAATCAAATTATATTTACCAAAGAGCGACATATCGCAAACACCCTGCGGCACCCAACAGGGGCTCCCCAACGGGGCTTCTCTGTGTGATCTGCTGGGCCACCTCACCGGCAAAGCTGCTGACTGCCAGCCCCTGTGACTTGTTGATTTTCAGCTTCTAGAGAGAAATCCTCTCAGCTCCAGTCTGGACCGTCAATGCTCCCAGGGTGACGTGGCAGAGAGAGCCGAGGGGCTCCAGGGTTCAGCGTGCCACTTGTGAGGTCTCCCCCTTCGCTGGTCCCAATCCACTGTCCACTTACCTTCCAGTCTCCCAGGGGGCCTGCGGGCACAGGCTCCGTGTGACCGTCAGAGAAGCCCCTCTGCTGGCCTGTGTTACCTGCACTAGTACTGTGAGGGAGGCTGGGCGCTCCCAATCCTCAGCCACTCTGGGGGCCAAAGGTGTAAATTAGCCTGTGCTGGGACCTCTCTGTTACTGGCTCAGGCTGCAGCTATTCCAGAAGCTAGATCACTTATAGTTAGCATTCCTGCTGTCCTTCCAAAGATCAGATTGCTGTTTTCCTCTCTTCCCGGTGTGCATGCCTGCTCTGTCCTACTTTTACAGTGGGGTTTGTAAGGAAGCAACAGCAAGTATATTTAATTCATCACATTTTATTAAATGTGCCAGTAAAATTTTTACAAAGGTGCAAAGTTTTAAAATCAAATTTTCAAACTAACAGCTCAAAAAATCATCTGTTTTCTAACTACAGTCCATCAAAGAATCAATATACTGTAATCACCAGTTTCATGAAGGCAGAAATCATTTCCACTTTATTCACTATGGAATTATCCAGCATCAAGCATAGTAAAGGTCATCAATAAATATTTATTTAAAAGTAACTTAAATGTAAAGAGATACAATGAAAAATTATGGTCTTTAGTTTTATAATTTCAGCACTTACCCAACTCACCTAAGAATGCCAAATGTTGCTTTGTCAATATTTCAAAAAGTAAACATCTAAGATACATATAATTTGAAATCTAAGTATGACATATATTTCAACAACAAAGTACTTTACTATAATAATTTTATTGTGATTCTGTTTTATCTAACAATAATTTCCTGGATACACATGAATCAGCATTCAAGTTTACTTGCTTATCTTGAACAACTAGTTAATATAAGAATATAATTTTTATGACAAATGCTTTGTCAACAGAATTTAATTACTACTAATCGAGGTACAATTTTAAATGTCATTAAATGCATCTGTAATATTAAAAAAATTATAAACATTACTGAAAATGCAAAAAGGCATTGTATTTAAGGCCATAACAAATGTTACTATACTTAAGTTCCTACTGAGGAAAACCCATCAAAATTATGGGCCCTCCCTGGTGGCGCAGCGGATTAAAGCA